CCCACGTCAATGTCTCAGCCAAGAGGAACGAGAAAAGGTTGCTATGCCCTAGACAGGGTGAAGGTGACTTAGCCAATGGGAGATGCCCTGGGTTTAAGTCACGCCAAATGATATTACTCGGGCTTGGTGATTGGTTAGCATCTCGATTGACCGATGACCATTGGCCGTAGAGGGGACCAATTACTACCCACTTTCCACGTGGCGCACAGAAGCGAGAAGCTGCACGTGCCACAAGACAACATAGATGAGGCGTTATAAGAGGGGAATCTTTTTATATTAACAAATCAGTAAAGCAAAGATTTTCCACTGCTATCAGACTTTGTCTTCCTTGGAAAATCCACAATTTTGTAGTCAGTAGAAGTTTATGCCTTTCTACAAAGGAAGCAAATGCTCAGTTTTCTATGCTTTAAGGAACTAGTTTGCTAGCTTTACAGTCCAGCTCTGAATCAAGTTCCGCATTTAATTAACCGCAAAACTAGTAATCACGTTTATTTCCCCACACGCCAGTCATCGCACTATTTTATCTAGTGAATAACGTCGAGTTGCGTCTGAGTTATTACATGGGCGGCTGTATTTATCAACGCATCAGCTTATATGTGCGGAAATTTTATGGCTGGAGTGTGCGTGACTAATTGTGTCCACACCCTTCAGTGGGCGAGACAGAGAGACCGCTTGAGTTGTTCAATTCGCACGTCTGACCCAGCTACTAACCCAAAGAAAATCAATACTGATTATGGCCCAGACATGCAACGGAGACGGTGATGCTTATGTCTGTCAAAAAGCAAATCCCTTTCCTCTATAACATAAAATTGTCAGACATTTATGACGTTTCTACCGTACGATCCTAAGTTGGAATGACCGTTATGACTAAGCAGCATAAGTCCTTAGATCCCTTAAGAGGAATTTTTTACTAAAAATCCCAAGTTATAAAGTCGCAGTAATGAGAAATCCTCTCAGAGTCCAAAGCCTGTAATATCAGGGTGGATTACGTAATGCAAGGTAGGGTCTTGGAGCAACTGGTAAGGCTCAGAGGCCTATTTCATTTAGTTAAATTACGTCGGAGATTGTAAGTGATCCCAGATTCAAAGGTGAAAAGCAAACAAAAGATCTACGTACACTATAGCCCCTCTAATCCTTTAAACCCTCTTGGACCGACCTTCTGCGTTAGACTTCTCAAGGAAATAAAGGGGCTGGAGAAAAAGTCAAAAACGTCTCACGGAACGTAAAAAGTTATCTGATTCTGACGTCATTTATCTGCCATCCCAATGCCGCTAGATTCGGCATACCATCCCTTATAGAAGACGGCTGTTAGGATGAGATAAAGTACTGATCAGCATGTCTAAAATCAAAGCCTTTTAACGATATCCAGGATATATCGCCAGTCATGGGGTTAGAACGCCACGCCCGTTCCACCTTGCCACGTTGCTATCACTTCAGTAGTGGTTCGGCAGTAGAGAATTGGAGAAGGTATCACCTTTTTACTTAATTGACATCTTCATTTATGTATGGAAGGCGGTTGTTCACCTCTAGTGTCGATTATGCTGCTGACAGCATTCCTACGGGCGACAGGTGTGGCAAATACCACAGACAGACGTCATTTTCAGTCAACGTTTTAAGATCCGTCATCAGCTCCGGAAATTACGCACTACTTCCGTCTCTCTAAGATTTGTCCACCAACGGCAGGAGTCAGAAGAGATGTCGTTTGGTCTTCTGCTGCCACTTATGTGGCACTCAAAGATTCTCGGAAGCCAGTAAAAGAAAATACACCGAAGTTGAATGCATACGCATTCGACTTCAACACGACTTAAGGCTACCAGCATAACTCATCAGTCCGCCTACTAGATGAAGGTGCTAAGGCCGGGACACGCAATAACCTCTTTACCAAAACGCAGACTTCAACAAACACCCAACGTCTAACCGTGTAATTCATTTTCTTGTCATTATGTTTGCTCATAATTTTTTCCCAAAATAACTGCAAAGTTCTTATAATTTGGGCTAGAAGTGCATAGATAAGAACAAACAAACTTGCAATGATCAACCATGCAATATTTTAAAAATATTTGACTGTTAAAATAAAAAAATGCTTTTGATTAACATTGCCGTTTCAGTATTTCAGGTGACTCGTCGTGGCCCGAGCTCTTATCTTCGCCATAATGCGCCTTTTCGGTACGCATTGCTAAGTGTCAGGCGTTCAGTGACTGATCGCATGGCGTTTGGAGTGGAAGAGTGCATCAACCTAGGTGTGATAAACTACGCATTTGAAACACTGTAGGCTGATTAGTTAACTGCCGAGTCCATCTTCTTGTACACTCCATTCCGTCAAGGTTGCTTCCTGCAAGTCACATCCAGTCTGAGGTAGCGACTTGGGCATCATTGTGCTTCCATTACAAGAGTATGGAGAGAAAGTGTTTTCATCCCTCGGTGGTGTGGCTCTGGCTTTTTAAAGGGCCATGTTGGGATGCCGGGTGTGACAGTTGTCTTAACCGCCTAAAGCATTTAAACAGGCTTTCGATTAACGTGACAGTTCTTGTTCACCTGCAAAATGCATCATCAATGGCAAGAGGAAAAGGCGTTTACAGGTATTTACAAAAGTGTTAGTGTCGGTGAAGTGATTTTGGAGCGTGGAGCCAATCTATCCTTAATGATTGTTGGGCATCATCAGAAGTAGGGATTGAGGGCCATCCAACTTATGAACGTTGGTCGCTTAACTTCCCTTTTTAACTGCATTCATTGGGAACTGTGCAGGTGGCACCTGTTTGGACTGAAGTCCTCCTATCTAATGTATGCCGATGGCGACAATATGCGGGATGCAAGTATTGGAGAATGAGGAGAATAACGGTTATTACAGCATGCATTAGGCTACAATAAGAAGTTCGAATCAGGTTGTCGTATACGCACGATAATGTAGAATGCAGTTGCAGTTGCCACAATGATGCACAAATATGGATAGCCCTGATATTGGATCTTCGGAGTTGAGTCTTGAAACCTGTTAACGAATGATGGACTTACAAAACAATGACAACCTGATGTACTTGGATCTAGGGTTAAAATTTTTTCCAGAGGACAGACGTTTCTCGACTCGTATGCAGTAAGGATCGCTGGAAAGCATGTACACACACATCAAATCGTACAACTGGTAAGCTAGCGCTCAACAAAATCCACTTATGCAGTGACACGCATAAAGGAGAGATACGGCAATACATACTGGTTGTGTAAATTGGACTTAATAGGGGAGAGGAGTGTTCTAACTCAAACATTGTACAAGTGGATTGCGAGGACCCATGGTGTGCGTTTATCGCTTTTGCTTCTACCTATCTTGGAATGCCTGATAATTTCTTGTCAAACAATCCTTCTTCAAAGAAGCCTGGGATGAAGAAACTACAGATTCAAAGTGGATTCTCAGGAAAACGAGGGTGACTTTTAATCACATGCCATAGTTGCCTCTGCATTGTCATGGAGTATGAATTTTGACACGTTTAATACCTTGTATATTTGACTACCCGTATTAATTGCGTTCACCTGAATACTTACCTCGGTTTTAGCTCATGGACTGGCTTTGAGACTGCGCCATGATTTGCTTCTGCTCCTTCTGTCTAAATAGTGCCTTCTACTACCAGAGAGAAGTGCTAAGATGTGACAATGAAGGTAGCTGAAACAGAACACGACTTTGTTGCCACTTTAATACTAGTTTTCACCGTTTGTGACAAACTTCTATGGTATGAGAAAGAACTGTATACACCTCTAACGGAAGAATTTCAAACACATTTACAAAAGGAGCACTAAGAAGGACGTTGGCTTTCAGCATCTATCCCACCCATTGGCTCCACTAACAGACTATTAACAGTTGATGCGGCTGGCTTTGTGATGCCGTGCATCACCGAGTACGTTGTGATGGCTAACCATAGAGATGTGTCAAGGGCAGTGCCGTAATCGTCACTCGGAAGATGAGTGGCGATGTAATACTTTGTTCACTTGACTACTCGTAGGAAAGGCGGTTCCTTTTATGATCAACTTTCTTTTGCCGTGTGAGCAGACCTTCGGACCAGATCATAGTCTTACTTCTGTCTGTTCCGTCTAAGTAATCAGCAATGCCAATATCGTCTATTACTTAGTTGAAAGTGTCGAGACATTGCAACAGGTGCTACAGCTGCCGCGATAAATCGATAGCAAACGTCTTAATTAGCTCGGCTACATATCTGAGCTGCAGAGAGACAGTTCGCTTGTAGCCATATGCAGGAAGATAATAAGGCCTGTTTCTGTTGAGATAACTAAGTCAACTACGTAATAATGGTTAGGTGGAATTGTTCCCGTTTATGCCACAAGTTCATTTCCCATCTCTAGCTTCCATCTAAATACTATATCTTTTGCTATTAATAAAGAAGGCCAGAGACGCTGCAATGGATATGGTATTGCATTGCTTATATGACCGCTGGAGGCTTGGCGACTACTCTGGTATTCATCTTGTGCTCTTGCGCGTGGACTGACTCTTGTGCCAACCCAAAGCCCAATCTCATCGTCTCGGCACAGATTATATGCATTCACAACCACTTAATGTCTTTTACCTAGTGAAAAACCTTAAGGCACTGAACGTATCGCCATTAATTCACTAATCTATTAACAAAGCTTTGATAATAGCACTTTGAGCCCTACTTACTGGTACGAGCATTCAAAATGAATTGTGGAATATGTCAGCTCTAAAACATTATCTTCTCTTTCAGACCAGGAACACATAACACATATTGTAGTAAGAAAAAAACCTCTGACAATAATTGAATAAATAGGAAGTAATACAAATTTTAAACATTCGTTGAACGAAATAAGCCAATTATTAACTGATACTAAAATGGAGAAGACGTTGAGATTTTTTATGGTCCTCGTCATTTTCTAACCCTAAGCAGAATATGTAAAGTCTGATGAGAGAATAGTTAAGGTCTCTAAGTGAAATAACCTTACTGTGTTTGTGTCGATTGACAAGTTTCGAGTATTCTTGAATATTTCAGGTGTCTCGCCAAGATGAGGAAGAAGGTTTGTCTTCACATTTATTGAATGAGTCCAAGGTTTTGTTAATGGGCAAATCAGGATCGGGGAAAACGAGCATGAGAAGCATAATATTTTCCAATTTTATTGCCAGAGACACAAGACGTCTTGGCCCAACAAGTATTTACTTTCAGCTGTAGTATATTCTTTTTAGTGGATGTTGAACACGTTCATTTAAGATTTCTGGGTGGTTTGGTTCTGAATCTTTGGGATTGTGGAGGGTATTGTTTCGAATCGATTGCCCATTCTCTAGGCAAGCTGGTTTCATGGAGAGTTATTTTGCAACTCAAAGGGAGAACATCTTTCGCAACGTTGAGGTTCTCATCTATGTGTTTGATGTAGAAAGCCAAGACTCAAAAAAGGATATGGCTTACTATCGGTCTTGTTTGGAGGCCATTAATGAACATTCGCCTGGGGCAAAAATTTTCTGTCTTGTCCACAAAATGGACCTTGTCAATGAGGCGAAACGCAGCTCCGTACGTACATTAGTCCCACCGTGATTGGGCATTGATGTTTGTGGTTGTACTATCTGTAACCACCCTCCAGGTTTTTGCCGAGCGTGAAAGGCAACTTATAGCCGCTACTCGACCCGATCACTGTGTCTGCTTCGGAACCTCGATTTGGGATGAGACTCTGTACAAAGCCTGGTCAAGGATAGTCTACCAAATGGTGCCTAATGTCCAAGCTCTGGAAAAGAATCTAATTCAGCTTTGTGATGTACTTGAGGCGGATGAGATCATCCTATTTGAGAGATCTACCTTCTTGGAGATAGCTTGTCATACTGCAAAGGAACACCCTGACCCGCACCGGTAACCTCGGCGCTGCCTTACCACTACTTGCATCCATTGTAAGAATTGCACCTGCGGCTGACCCTCTCACGCTTTCTTGCAGGTTTGACAAAATTAGTACCATCATCAAACAGTTCAAGTTATCGTGTAGCAAGGTCGGAGCAAACTTCATTGCCATAGAGCTGCAAACTCCCCAATTCTCGGCTTTTATTGACGTATTCACGCCAAACACCTATGTCATGGTGATAATGTCCGACCCAACAATTGGTTAGTGAGGGAACTGTGCATCGGATATCTTGAGTCCTCAATTGGAGATCACATTTATGACCATTCATTTTAATACATTTTAGCCTCTTCCGCTACCCTACTCAACATCCGAAACGCCAAAAAGTACTTCGAGAAATTGGAAAAGGTGGAGACGCCCCATTCGGCTATCGTGGCTTGACGAACCTTTAACATTTTCCTTCCATGTGAATCAAAGCCCTTAACACATTGATTCCTTCCCATAAACCGCCTATCTTCAAATGTTTAAGAAAAGAAGTGGATATGAACTCGGTTTTTTAAAAAAGTCATTTCTTCAAATGATCCTTTGAGACGATCTTTTTAAAAACGCAACCGTTATAATCTACGGCTACAATCTTCAATGTGGGAACTTTCAATATTGAAAAGATCCTTCCCAAGATTTTGTTGACTGGAAGTCTCATTCGAGGTTCTTCAAACAGCTCATGGTACACGATGCAGCCTTGCATCAGGCTGGCGTCCAAGGGTAACTTCAGACCTAATGCTTGAGGAGTTAAGTTCCACAACTTTGCATGATCAAGAGAGCTGACATCTTCGCTAATTCTTACTTGAACTAGACGGATTCCGATAAGAGACTCCAAGAAACCGCTAAATTTCGTTAAGAATCGGTGCAGCGTACATTTACTCTTTCAGTTCCGTTCCACGGTAATCCTTGTACTTCGGAAATTCGATAAACCAACTGTAAGAAGTGGTTGGTTAAAAGTGAACACAGACCGGTGAAAAGAGAGAAACTGGGCGATCTCTTTTCCCCAGAATGCTCCGCCACAATCCTTAACAGTATCGCACCTTCCCCAGGGAATTCCCGATTGATCTTGAGCAGCTTCGACAACTCGTGACGCATTCTCGTAAAATGTGACTCTACTGATTTGAAGTATTGATAACCTTCGGAAGTCGTACGCATTTCTAACCTGAAAAGTTGATTTGTTCACAAGATTTACTTTTTCAGGTCGTGATGAGCTCCCAGGCGGAGGAAATGCCAAAACGAGGTTTAAATCGTCCCCACCGCGTCGCATGATCCCTTCAAAGTTGTGATCCAGGTCGAAACAGTGGCCCAGTTCATGCAACATAGTGCCCAATGCAGTTGTGTAGTTTGCCCAATAGGTCCCACTAAGGAAAAAGTCTTCAGTTATGTTTTTTTCGGATACCGATATCCGCTATCGTCGAGATACTCTCTTCGATTGACTTTCGATGTATTTGACAGGCATGTCCCAATATCTTCAGCGCTTTCTGGCCATGTATACAGCGTACCCGACCCAATAAGGGCCAACCCACCAGTTCCTACAATGGAAATCAACATCACATTCCTTACTCTCACCTAGAGCGCAGTACCCTTTGGTCATCGCGATAACTTCTTCATGCGAATGCGGAATAGGCTTTGAGCCAGTCATAGATTCGTATTCAGTGCAGCTGACGACTGCCAGCCACTTGGCTCTATCCCGGTCCTCCCAAAATATAGTGTCCAGTTCTCGAGCCAGACACTCCCAAAGACGGAATGCTGACAAACTTTGTGCCTCCTGAAAGTTCATCTCCGAATGGATACACCACACGGCTACTGATAAGGATGACGCGACAACACGAGGTCGGATTTTCGAATGTGTAGATAAATCCCCGGCACAGACAAACGTACGGCGGCAGCCAGTTTCCGCGAAAATGGTCTCGGCAGTAAGTGTTTGGAGTAATCGCACTGCCAAGCCAAGACGCCGACATGCGCTGCCAGAATCAGATGATATGTTGGGTGGAGCTTGGAACGAGCCGTCGTGACCTTTAAAAACTATGTAGATGCACCTAACGTAAGGCCTAGTATCACCAACCAAGACTCTGGTTATAGCGCAATTATAGGAAACATGGGGGCAGCAAACGGATACATTGTTCAAACCCATACCAAGGGGGATAAGAGCTTTAAAAGACACCCTAGGTGCTTTTTCCGAAGGTGCCTTGAAGAGTATGGTTTTTGTTCTGGAGACTATGACTGGATGACAGCCAGAATGACACGAAAAAGTTCCTCTGAGTAGAAATAAAGGGTAGTCTACAGTCGAGCTACTGTCACTACAAAACAAGTCAAGAACCATTGAAGCGCAGCTCCACGGTTCAAGTGTGAGATCTCAGGTTAGGTGTGAAGAGTCACGTGGATGAAGAACATGAGTAAATAGGAATTCGACTGTATTCGTGTTGGTACTTTCGATTTCTTAGTGCGAACATGCTATAACATTTGAGAAACAAAACTGTTTCTATGGTGTCCATTACGTAAAACCTATCTTCAACTGTGTCCACATGATTATCGTCAGTATAGGTGTATTACTCAGCCCGCGTTGCTGCATCCCGCTTTTGTAATTCTGTTCGCACTAGTTCGTTGAACGTGTTAGTTTACTCTGTTTGATTTCTTAAAATTCTACTGGTGCATTGTCAACATCTTAGCAACTAAAGATTGCTTTTAATTTTGAGTTTTCAGCCATGTTGTTCTATGCTAGGTATAGGGTCTGTATATCATTGGAGGTTTCGTCGGTTGCTACTTATTTTTTTTTGTAACTTAGAGTAAACGAATACCATTGACTTGTATAGTTACATCTTGGGATGCTTATATGTTACGAAATAGTCACCATCTCTATGTTGTAAGTTTCAGTTATTGTTGTACTGTGCTGACTTATTAAATTAAAAGTTTCGAATTTGGTTTGCACACTCTCAGGGAACCAGACTCTCTGTTCAGGTGCGTGAGTTTAGCAGTAGACGCAACCTTTGGTTAGCAATTCACAAAAACTTGTCTAGGGGCTGCACTTGAATTAGCAAGCATATTTTCTATGGTTCTCATCGAATCTCTGAATTGACCTAAGTGATTTTTAATTTATGCTTTCTAAAAGTGTCTTTACTATGTCTTTAGCTTTTTCTATGGACGGTTTAGGATTTTATGGCATTGGGAGGGTAAAGACCTGAGTGTTGCTCATCGCTTTTTCTCCCAATTGGTAGGCGTCGCCCAGTCATAGCATTTATTAATAAGCGGAAATTGTTGGGTTTTGATAGTCATAAAAGTGTGTTCTAAATCTTAGCTAACCTTTCAACTTGTAATACGAAGCTTTACCATTGCATGCGTGCATCATTGGTTCGCGATCCTTGTCAAAATGTTTCTAGTTGAGTACTTGATCCATTTTTGTCAGTCAGTATTTACATTTAGATGGTCCCTAATGGCAAGGTGGGGGGACAATTTAGTGATAACAGACTTTACTAGTTTTAGAACGGAAAAGTGCTGACGATTTGAGGCCCATCATGTCATTTAATGATGATGATATGTTCATTGACGATGTGGAGCTCTCCGTGGCCTACTCCTCTGACGACAACTCGGAGCCCGACGTTGATTTGGAGAATCAGTACTATAACGCAAAATCACGTAAGGATGACAATCCTGATGCAGCCATCGAGGAATTTAGGAAAGTCCTGGCCATCGAAGCCGAGGGTGGCGCCAAGGGTGATTGGGGCTTCCGAGCTCTGAAACAAATGATTAAATTGAAATTTCGCCTGGGCCGATTTGATGAGATGATGGAAGACTATCGCACTCTCCTTACTTACATTAAGACAGCTGTGACTCGAAACAACTCTGAGAAGTCGATTAACTCTATTCTGGATTACGTATCCACTTCCAAGCAGATGGATCTTCTGCAGACTTTCTACAATACCACTTTAAATGCTCTAAAAGATGCAAAAAACGAGCGGCTATGGTTTAAGACCAATACCAAACTTGGCAAGCTTTTCCTCGAACAAGGTGATTATGTACAGCTGCAGCGGATCATCCGAGAACTGCGAGAGTCCTGTCAAACAGATGAGGGTGAGGATGATTTAAAAAAAGGCACCCAGTTATTGGAGATCTACGCTCTTGAGATCCAGATGTATACAGCGCAGAAGAACAACAAGAAGCTGAAAGCACTATATGAGCAGTCGTTACAGATCAAATCGGCCATCCCACACCCCATGATCATGGGTATTATCAGAGAATGCGGAGGAAAAATGCATCTTAGGGTGGGAGAATATCAGCGAGCGCACACAGACTTCTTTGAGGCGTTCAAGAACTATGATGAGTCAGGATCTCCGCGCCGGACACAGTGCCTGAAGTACCTTGTTCTTGCAAGTATGCTCGCCAAGTCTGGCATCAATCCTTTCGATTCACCGGTAAGTATATTCTTTTTTATTAAAGACGAATGACTGATTAAATTTGTTGTGAAAGGGTCACATTAGTATTCTCTCACTTTACACTCATAGTGCTAACAACTTCAGCTTCTCTTGGATCACTTAAACATTATACGCGATGTTGTGAGAAACGAATTTGTAAGACAAGTTTTGCAGGAAACAAGATGATGGGCTAATCCTCGCCTTAAGTGTCTACGGGCCAATTATCGGGTCGCCGATTGGCTGCTTTGCAGGAGACGAAGCCTTACAAGGTGGACCCGCAGATAGTAGCTGTGACGAGTCTGGTGACGGCCTATCAGAACAACGATGTGAAGGAGTTCGAACGCATCTTGCGGGAGCAGCGAGAATCAATCATGAGTGATGATTTTATAAGGGAGCACATCGAGGACCTGCTGCACAACATCCGTACCCAAGTGTTGGTAAAACTTTTGCGGCCCTACACTCGCGTCCGTCTGCCATTTATCTCACGACAGCTGGACCTGGAGCCTCGAGAAGTGGAGGCTCTCTTGGTGGCGTGTATCCTCGACGGAACCATCGCGGGCCGTATTGACCAGGCCTCCGAGGTGCTTATCCTTTCACCTCCCAACCCTTCCCCCGTGGAGGCTCGCTATGAAGCGATTAATAGACTGGCGTCTAGTCTATCCAGCCTCATGAACGTGATCGTCACTCGGAGTGGAACGAGCACTTCTTAAGGTGCCCTCCCCTCTCTGTCATTCACAATTGTCTTTCCTTCTCCCTCCTCCTTTCTTTCCCCTCCATCTTACCTTCCCCCTCCCTTTTTACTGCTATTATAGTTTCACTGGTAGTAAGCTATGATTGTCTAACCACTTTTCAATGACCAGGATGGGGCTTCATCATGTAGTAACTAGGTATTGTAGCGGACTCGGATCACTAAATCCAGTCTAAGTGTGAGCCCCTCAATTTTTTCCCGACTAAACCCCCTATTCACTTGGTCATTCAAAATATCAATTGTCGGGTAAGTAAATCGTAAACCTACCTACGGATCAGGTCACTGACTTAATTTTCAAGAGCAATAACAATAATAACAGCCCAAAGAACGTTGCCTTTTATGCCCCACTTGAAGCATGAAAAACCGAGGCTCGTTGTGGTTGGCTCGACTAATAGTAGCCTTTCAAGTACACCACTCTGAATCTATGACAATGATCTTAAGATTCCACCATTGGGAGCTCGCTTGCTTTTCCTTGACGGCTTGCCACGATTTCACCAAGTTCTTCGTCAAACTTTTAAACCATCTACACATCAGTAAGTAATATAGAATTATGCTAAAATAATACTGTACAGGCTTTTTGTTCGACACCCGTCAAGAAGCGACGCCTGAGGAGAGAGACTTCTCAGTCCTGCCCGCTTTGTTGGTCTCCTCCACCGTCTTCTCGATCATCTGCATCAAACTGCAGGGTGCAGCAGCAGTGGAGGTGGCGAAAGAGGCAGATTTTAATACCTTGCGAGGCCTAATAGGGTCGTCTTCATCGTCCACAGGTTTGGTGGCGTCCCGCGCCAAAACCTCATCGATTATGGCAGAGATGTCGCAGGTGGATCGCTTTTTTGGTGTTCGTTGGCCAGATTTATCCTTTGGAGCTGCAAATAGAGACAAAGAACACTGACAGCAACAAACGCCAGGTCTGTTAAAGCTTTCCAGTAAGTAACTGGACACATCTGACAGGAATTTTTGCGTACCGTTGGGGAAATTTCAGGACTTGTTTTCTGATTGTGAAATCTAAAACATAGCTGCAACTAGATAAATGTAGAACTTTTTGTAGAGAAAAAAGATGCTAACATCGCAGCGATGGTCGTGATAGCACAAAACACTCATAAAAACGTGTTCATGAGCAAACAAATGGTAATCTCTCCGACCAAGTTTTATTTTCAAGTTTGGTAGAAAATGAACCTAGTATTTAAAGCCCATATGTACAGTCCTTTATTTTGATAAAAAATCAAGCAGCCACCCCTTGTAAGGTTGGAACAATAATCCTGTGGCTAAAAATAACTACCACGAGGTAAACAAATGATATGAACGCCAAAACTGAATATAACTAAGGACTACTTCAAGATCAGTCCAAATTCGCTACTTTACCAATACCTTTCTGACTTTTTAACTGATGGCGGAGCAAAGCACTGAGACAGAACAGGCACATAGTAAGCATTTAGTAGACCCGCTGGCGAAGAAGCAATTACACTTTTGCCTACTGTAAGACTTGGAGTTCAACACCTAATGGTTCATTTACAAAATGTAGCCCCCTTGTACAGTTGGAAAACAAGGGCATATTTTCCATGAATAACTGGGAGGATAACAGTTTATTTTAGCAAATCAAGCTCCTCTCTCATTGTCAAAGCGTTTAATCGGCAGCTCTGTCGAATTGTTAAGTCAGGTGTAAATTTGAAGTGTGATCCTCGCAAATAATGCCCTAATTATCGAAAAGCAATTGCAATGTTCAGACCTGAGAATTGATTTGAAAGACAAAACATCATAAAAAGCACTCCAAGCTTCTTGGAGAATTAAGACTTGATGTTCACAACCTGAAAGGAGAAGTAGTTAGAGCTAATATCGTCCCGCCTGCGCATCAGTGACACCAGAATGGAATAGAAGTTTCCCACTTGTAGTAAGGTAAAAGAAAGTCCATACTGTTCCTCTCTTTGAAGGCGATGAATTCTTCTGGCAAAATAACCAGATCAAAAATTTGTCTCTAATTTGTTTATCAAGTTGCTGGCAATCTCTTCCCCTTAGCCACTTTCGCCAAAGCCACAAGAGCGACGTACCCAAAGAGCCTGTACAGATTTGCCGAACTGACAATATGACATCGAACTTTGCGTTTTCTAAGACAAACAAACGTAAACTTGACTCCTGTTGGGAACGATTAATTGTAGATGCAATACCACCAAATACGAGGCTAAACTGGAGCATTGTACGTTCCCTTTCAAGTATTGAACGGTCCTTGAATTCTAGGAATGAGATATCGGTATATCCACGCGTATCATTTTCGTATGCAAACCAATACTTGCATGTGCAAGTGGAGCTTCTATGGGCAGTCCCAAATATCCCCAACTAAAGACTCATCAAATACATTAGTGAACTCAACCTAAACCATGATACGTTGAACCAACCAACGGACGAATTAGTCAGTAGAGGCACCAACTACTGACGATACCTCGATACTGTTGAACACACAATCTTAAAGTGCTATTTATGCCTATGAGGAACTACTCTGCGTGGATCATAATAAAAGTAATTAGACTGGAAAGTTGCTGCAATAGCTACTTGACAAGTTACTTATAACACCAACTCTAGCAGTGGGCAGAAACGATACCCTGAGTTCCAAATGATTACAACTGAACGACGTCTAGCCGATTACTATCTAGCAGTTAGTCTACCACGCTGTTACAATGATTCTGATCAAGACTTAGCTATTATAGGGTAAGAATTAGATGAAAACTACTACTTGAACAATGTTGCAGATTCTACGCAATAACATACCTTCTCAAAGAAGAGGCATCCTAAGTGGGTATTAGGTTTAAAAGAATTAACATCCAGACGCACGGAACCCGTCAAAAAGCAAATTAGTGCAGATCAGAGTTTTAACGTGTGACGCTGTTAATGCACGAGTTTTTTCAACCACAACCCCCCAAGTAAAATGCGTAATTTGCAAATCAAAAGGATTTTGGAGAAATAGTGAGGAAAAATAAGCTCCTAAATGTCATATGCATGTATATGATAGTTCCTTCTTCCTCCCTCCTCCCCATTTTAATGGCAAAAATTAGCACTAACCTCCACGGCTTAAAGCAAAAAGAAACGTATAGCATATGCCTAGTTTAGAAATACGAATATTTTTAGTCGCAAACAGCATATTTTTGTGGATAATAAAGTAGTTGTGTGATTACATGGGCTATTTGTCCTGGGTACCCAAGCAGCGAAAGCTAGCCATGTCTACGAAAATCATTCTTAAAGAATACAAATAACTTAGACCAGTGACTGTTGGACCTTTTGCAAGGGCATGAAGATGATTTGTTAGCTTAGAATAATATTGATGGACTATAGAAATCAAATAGAATGCCTTCAAAGTAAGTAGTTAGATCTAGGCAATGAGAAAATACAATTTCACGAATCAACTCAGCGAAAAATAATGAAAGCTTATGTAAAAATCGGTGGCGACCTACCTTTTCTTTTCTCTACAATGGCATCTTTGGTCAGCTTTTCGTACTTTTCCTCCGAATCGCTTTCGCTTTTGCAAAACACGGTAATGTCATAATTCCGTTTGTTCTCTAGAAGAATCAGTTAGGCAAGCTTCAATCCAGCAACATACTCAATGCTTCGTCCACCAGGTGTGGAAAAAGACGCTCTTCTCGTTTAAACTTTTTCTAAAACAACAAGCGCAATTATGAAGCGAAATTCACGAAAACCTGTAAGACTCAGCAAATATGTATGAAAAAATAGGTTGAAAGGATCAGGGATAGGGCCACTGTGACTATAACTGATTAAGAGAAAGGAAATCGAATAACCGATAATAAAAAAGCAACTCCGGTTAAACATGAAATCGATGAGGTCATGGGAGTCTGACTATTTCATGTTGACGCAAGAGCACTAAGCACTCAAAAAGTTTGCAGACTTATATGGACATAATTTCGTTAATGTCGAGGCATCATCGAGCAAACAAAGGCTAAATAGACAGAAACTGAGGAATCATATGTTAAAAGAGATCATAGTAATTTGAAACGGTGTAGTTGCACTTAAATCCTCTCTGAGAATGAACCAAGTGGTCCACAGAAGAACAGGTGTCCGATTACTGTCCAGATTGACACAAAACAAGGGCGACTCTGATAATACATTCCGTCCCTCCGACCATGTGCTTTCAACAGCTTCCTAGTGCCCAGGAATGAAAATTCGGAGACTCGGTGCGCCAATTCTAGCCTTTGAGAGTACTCGCGAAACGACTAGAAAAATGTATTACAGTTTCCCCTTCCTGGGTTCACATAAGAAATGCGGAACTTCAAAACTATTAAACCCACAATCACCATGCACCAAATAATAAGGATAGAAAGCAATACGCATCACCTCAACAATCTGTTCGACAAGGATGGTCCATAAATGCCCGATATGCTCACAGCTTTGCAGGATAATTCGAACTGTACCTCCACAAATAAACAAAACACTGACCTATCGAAGCCCTAGAAGTAACTCGAACGTTAGGGATCCAATAAACTAATAATCCTACCAAAAGTTGGCCTCTCGTCCTTCCGGGGAAGATTTTTGTCATAGAGTAGAAATCAGTGCCAATAGTACTGAGAGCTCGATAAAACCGAGTGGTATCCTTTTCGGTCCACTTGCGCCCCCGATGCTGGATAGGGCGGCGGCGGAAACTGTTGTACGTGGTCCCATAGAGACCGGCCTCCTCTGCCACATGTCGAAGGTCCTCCATGACTGTGGTCTTAGGATGGCTGATATGGAGGCTCTGCTCATCAAGTACAATGTTTCCATCTGCATCCAGACGCAGCTGCGGTGCCAGAGGGTCAATGTGAGGCTCGCCTGGTGCAGGAACGGTTGTGTCTTCAGATTTCTTATCTACGCTCTTACTGGTCGGTGACGTCACCCGTGGTGAGTCATGCTTGAGGGGTTTGGGATTAGGGTGGATATCACGAACCCTTTATGTGAAAAACAAAACGAACGCATCCAAGTTGGACTAAAGCTAGCAAATGTGGGTTAAAACAAATTGACTTTGGCGTGTCCGATGGAACCACATGCTTATTGCTAACATCAATCATAAATGACTACAAATAGAGATATATAAAAGTAGCACAAAACAGCGTTGAAAACATTAAACTAACCTTGGAGGAGGTTTATTTGCAGGAATCCAATTAAGAAGTGATCGCAAAGTAACAGTCGAGCGGTCAAGAGGCCTATCTGCAGGTGGAGGTGTGTCACCGTAAACGTGATGCCTTCTTGGGGTCTTCAACGGGAAAGTAAAAGTGAGGCAAATGAACTCACAGCCCAAGGAAAATAACAAAAGAGAACACACCTGTTTGACCACAAAGAGCTTAATAGAACTTAAGGAGGAAGAACTCTTGCATGAAGAGTTGCAATGTTCCTCATCAATGTCTACACTCGCCGTTCTAAATCAACATTAAGTTAAGGCATAAAGATTACGAAGAAGGTGCGAAGCATTGAGAGCTATTCTTGGGGAAGGTTTCCTTGCTAGGCAAAGGGATTTCACAAGTCGGAGAAACAGAAGGGATTTCCGGTAGCCCAACTTCTTTCACTTCTGGTAATCTGTTTGTTTCGGGTTCAACGGGAACGGCGGACGATAGCACATTTTCAACGTTGTCCTTTGGTGAAAGAAGATCTGCCGAGGGCGCAGGATGCGAAGGAGTTACATTCGACGATTTCTCCTCGGTTTTCCTTAAAATTATACCCATAATAACAGCTTACTGATTCCTTTGAGATATACCACTTTTAACCTTTGGTTTAAAAACCCTCGGCATGATCGACAGACTAAACCCAGAGCGGCTAACTCAATTTAACCACTGATGTACCAGTCATGTCGGAATAAACGCGCACGTCAGATATTAATGGTTTTGAATAAAATACATATCACTCTCCAATTTTTGAAATTATACACTTAAATTATATGATAATCTGCGGTGGCACTGCTATTTAACTCAGTGTTTTATCTATCACTAAAATTCACTTTCGGTGAAGTGGTCAAAAGGGGACTTATTATGATTTTCAAAAAGCGCTTTAAAAATTTTATTCCTTTTTAAATCTGTTGCGTAGTTGGACTCTTTAGAAGTCACTCCAGGAAGGAGTATATGGTTACACCATGCAGTTCACTTCCGAGACGCATTTTTTAGTATTTGCCCATGTCATCTTCATTGACAATCTCATTCCACCTGTAGTTCAAAATCTTTTTGTAATATATACTAGTTTGTCTAAGTGTATTTTTTAGGTGAGAGGCGGGAACCAGTTGGGAACGCAATACCTCCTACTCGCCTCAGTTGCATCCCATTCCCCATCCTCCCTAATAACAATGCCTAATAAATCGTCTGTAACCAACTGCCTCTCTAATTCTGAGGATTAGCTACTAGAGGGTAGACAGGCAGCTCTTACGCTGTTCTTAATGATTTAAACACTCGTACCAATAGCGGATTAGAGCCCAATCGTTGCATTTTGAAAGCTTATTCCATGAAAGCTTATTCACTGTAATGCCTTGATTATGTGAGCATCTGATGTTTCCAGTTAATTTGCTATCCGTCCGCCATCGTAGGCATGGGCTGGCCTTTGAGCTAAGCCGTGGCTCTATTCCTGGTTCTCTTCAAAAGTATGCATTTCGCCAAACGGGATGACTTTTTCTGCCTGGTAGGAGGTTTTTGAGCCTCACACACTATGACCGAAGACCAAAATACGGTCTGTTCATAGCCACTCCCTCACTTTGTTCTGGAAGCAGTTGAATCATCTAGGTACAAAATTTTTAAAGTGTTGCCTAGACAGCATAGCACCCATGGGCTTTTCTAAAGAGGATTGATAAGATTATAATAGTTGAGAAGGAATAAGAAATTACGGAATAAAATGAGTCTAAGCTTTTGATATAGCTCAGAGGTCGATGTGCGTTGCCAAATTGCAAAGCTCCTCTTAGCGACCATTGGCCAAAAGCAAGCAACAAATTCATTGCACCCGTAGCCAACTCAAACCGATAAACCTTGGGACACTACGCTGCTAGTGTTTTTGTAGCGTTCCGAGATCTCCTGGCCGGTATGAGAAGTCAGTAAGTCCCGCTGGATGCATGTATTCTGAAGATGACAGCACTAATGGGCCTGGGCATGGCCCGAAGGCCAGTCCACGTGTAACGAGGGCCAGACAAATCCTAAAGTGACCGCCAAACGTCATATGGTCACACAAACAAAGTAATACAATACTCCTCTCTTCTTTTGAGCGGCGTCCTCGGCGCTCCTCTTCGTACACCTTACGCGCCAGCCATCACAACACATTCGGTACTACATGAAAGAACCCACAAGCCAACCGCACCAGTCGACAGATAACATCAGACTGGTTTCCTCGGTAGCTTCAACTGGGTCTGGAGTTACGTTCAGTCTGACAACCAGATTTGGGGCTCATAGGCCTGTTGACCATCAATTGCTTCCAAGAATAGACGGTTTAACTCTGGTCTAAATCATATATGTTATAGGGGAAGCGGGACGAGCCACTGTCCCGTAAGTAAGGAGAACCGTGGTGTCATTTCCGACACCTAAACACGGATTTTGTATGAAAATCTCCGACACGAAACTTTTCCAGATAGT